GAGAGAGAGAGAGAGAGAGAGAGAGAGAGAGCAACCTCAGCAACGGATCCCCTTAACACGGCTCAGACGGCCCATGCAGGCTATCTGAAGGGTCCTCGCAGCCATGTAGCGCAATCCCCCCCCCAAAATCAAGGCAGGCAGCGCATATGAAGTCGAGCACGGGCTGGCAAAATATATACTCAAGATTCGAGTTCAGGTCTGTGTTTCAGCAGTTATGGGCTGCTCGCGTAGCTAGCCCCTGTTGGTCTCTGCACGTGACTCTTAGGGCTTGGCTGCACTACTCACGAAATGTGCAAAATTAGAATGAATCTTCTGCAGAACGTGGAATAATATGCCACCATATGTTTTGTCTTTTGTGCATTTGGTGAGTAGAGTCCCTTAGGGCCACTGCACGTATTCCTAAGAAAAGAAAAACGAGAAAAGAAAAGAAAAACGAGAAAAGAAAAAAAAAAACGAGAAAAGAAAAGAAAAACGAGAGAAGAAAAGAAAAACGAGAAAACAGAGAAATAGTGACCCATAACCCAGATGCACAGACCTGAATTCGAATCCAGACTATATTCTCTGCCCGCACACAAAGTACAAGTTTGAATTGCGTAACGTAGGGTCCTAGCTAGTACGCTGTAGGGATCATACGGAAAAGAGGCTGGACCCAACTAGGACATGAATACTCAGATGTATAGACATGTGCCCACAGTTTTGGGGTTTGGCATGGCCCTGACTTTTCTCCCTCTTGCTTTCTGATTTTTAGAAGCAAGGGGAATGTTTGGCCACCCCACACTGTCCTTTCAACTTTTTCATTTTTTGTACTTTTTGTAATGCGCCGCCGCAAGTATGGAAAAAAACAAACAAACAAAGAAAACCAAACCCCCTCGTAGACTTTCCGGGCCGTCTGGATCGTCGGTGAGGGTGGTAAAAAATAAAGCACTATTTGTTTTGGGCGGCCCAGGGCGTAAACAAACGCCCCTGACCACCCAAAAAAAAATTGGCCATTGGGCTGGGGCCCTCACATCCGGACCAAGATCCGGACCCGGACCCCGGACCCCGGACCCCGGACGGTCCGGATCCCTGTCCGGTGGTCTGGATCGTAGCCATGAAATGAGCCACTTAACAAATTAACAATGTTGGCCTTGAAATATCATGATGTCATGAACTCAGCAGAAGAAGTTCACAACCAACTCTTTTTTTCTTTTCCGTTTTTTTCAAAGAAAGGCGATGGCCCCGAGATATCATCATTGAAGTTACTAAACTGACTGGCCCCAGGTAATTCAGAATGATTTTATTTTCTGGTCATCTGATAGTATCTGGATTCGAACTCGGGTCCGTATTTCAACAGTTCATGGGTGTACCAACTGCGCCAGGCCTGTCGGTTCACAACCAACTCTCACATGAACTCATGGGGCTCAAATGAATGATAACAATAAAATTGAGATAGCAATGAGCTACAAAACTGCGTCGACAAGAAGACCAAGAGCGTAGAACTATGCCAAGAAGTATAAGACGTCTTTTCCCCCTTCTTCTTCCTTTGTGCAATAAGTATAAGACTTTTTATCATAGTTGCGGCACACCAGTGCGCAGTGCGGTGCGGGCCAGTGCGCTGTGCGCTGGAATGACAGCACGCGCACTGTGCGCCGTGCGAAAACGAAAAAAGGAGAGAGAGAGAGAGAGAGAGAGAGAGAGAGAGAGAGAGAGAGAGAGAGAGAGAGAGAGAGAGAGAGAGAGAGAGAGAGAGAGAGAGA